AAGTTCTCTATAAGTTTAATGTAATGCCAATCAAAATCCCAATGGCATTTCTTGTAGAAATAGATAAAGCAATCATGAAATTCATATGGAAAAATAAAAGACCCAGAATAGCAAAAACAACTCTAAGCAGGAAGTGTGAATCAGGCGGTATAGAGATATCAGACTTCAAACTATACTACAGAGCAATAGTAACAAAAACAGCATGGTACTGGTACCAAAACAGGCGGGTGGACCAATGGTACAGAATAGAGGACACAGAAACCAATCCACAAAACTACAACTATCTTATATTTGATAAAGGGGCTAAAAGCATGCAATGGAGGAAGGATAGCATCTTCAACAAATGGTGCTGGGAAAACTGGAAATCCATATGCAACAAAATGAAACTAAATCCCTTTCTCTCGCCATGCACAAAAGTTAACTCAAAATGGATCAAGAAGCTTGATATCAAATCAGAGACACGGCATCTGATAGAAGAAAAAGTTTGCTACAATCTACATACTGTGGGGTCGGGCTCCAAATTCCTCAATAGTTCACCCATAGCACAAGAGTTAATAACTAGAATCAACAAATGGGACTTACTCAAACTAAAAAGTTTTTTCTCAGCAAAAGAAACAATAAGAGAGGTAAATAGGGAGCCTACATCCTGGGAACAAATCTTTACTCCTCACACTTCAGATAAAACCCTAATATCCAGAGTATACAAAGAACTCAAAAAATTAAACAATAAGATAACAAATAACGCAATCAACAAATGGGCCAAGGACCTGAACAGACACTTCTCAGAGGAGGACATACAATCAGTCAACAAGTACATAAAAAAATGCTCACCATCTCTAGCAGTCAGAGAAATGCCAATCAAAACCACCCTAAGATACCATCTCACTCCAGTAAGATTGGCAGCCATTATGAAGTCAAACAACAATAAGTGTTGGCGAGGATGTGGGGAAAAGGGTACACATGTACATTGCTGGTGGGACTGCAAATTGGTGCAGCCAATTTGGAAAGCAGTATGGAGATTTCTTGGAAAGCTGGGAATGGAACCACCATTTGACCCAGCTATTCCCCTTCTCGGTCTATTCCCTAAAGACCTAAAAAGAGCATACTACAGGGACACTGCTACATCGATGTTCATAGCAGCACAATTCACAATAGCAAGACTGTGGAACCAACCTAGATGCCCTTCAATAGACGAATGGATAAAAAAAATGTGGCATTTATACACAATGGAGTATTACTCTGCATTAAAAAATGACAAAATCATAGAATTTGCAGGGAAATGGATGGCATTAGAGCAGATTATGCTAAGTGAAGCTAGCCAATCCCTAAAAAACAAATGCCAAATGTCTTCTTTGATATAAGGAGAGTAACTAAGAACAGAGTAGAGAGGAAGAGCATGAGAAGAAGATTAACATTAAACAGGGATGAGAGGTGGGAGGAAAAGGGAGAGAGATGGGAAATTGCATGGAAATGGAAGGAGACCCTCAGGGTTATACAAAATTACATACAAGAGGAAGTGAGGGGTAAGGGAAAAAAAGGGGGAGGAGAAATGAATTACATTAGATGGGGTAGAGATAGAAGAGGGGAGGGGAGGAGAGGGGAGGGGAGGGGGGATAGCAGAGGATAGGAAAGGCAGCAGAGTACAACACACACTAGTATGGCAATATGTAAATCAGTGCATGTGTAACCGATGTGATTCTGCAATCTGTATACGGGGTAAATATGGGAGTTCATAACCCACTTGAATCAAAGTGTGAAATATGATATATCAAGAACTATGTAATGTTTTGAACAACCAACAATAAAAATTTAAAAAAATAAATAAATAAATAAAATGTTTAATACTATTAACTGAAAAAAAAAAAAGAACACAACAATTAGTATTAGTGAGGATGTGGGGGGAAAGTCCTACTCATACATTGCTGGTAAGACTGCAAATTGGTACAGCCAATCTGGAAAGCAGCATAGAGATTCCTTGGAAAACTTGGAATGGAACCACCATTTGACCCAGCTATCCCACTCCTCGGTTTATACCCAAAGGACTTAAAAACAGCATACTACAGGGATACAGCCACATACATATTTATAACAGCACAATTCACAATAGCTAAATTGTAGAACCAAACCAGATGTCCTTCAGTAGATGAACGGATAGGGAGACTATGGAATATATACACAATGAAATATTACTTCCACATTAAAGAGAATAAAATCATGGCATTTGCAGGTAAATGGATGGAGTTGGAGAATATAATGCTAAGTGAAGCAAACCAATCCCAAAAAAACAAACGCAAATGTTTTCTTTGATATGAGGATGCTGACTCATAATGCGGATGAGTGGGGAGCATGGGAAGAATGGAGGAACTTTAGATATGGCAAAGGGGAGGGAGGGGAAGGGAGGGGGCAAGGGAGTAGGAATGATGGTGGAATGAATTAGACATCATTACCTTAAGTACATGTATGAAGACACGAATGGTGTGAAAATACTTTGTGTACAACCAGTGACTTGAAAAATTGTGTTCTATATGTGTAATATGAAATAAATAGCATTCTGCCATCATGTACAACAAATTAGAATAAATAAAAATGATATTTAAGGGCTGGGGATGTGGCTCAAGCGGTAATGCGCTCGCCTGGAATGCGCAGGGCACTGGGTTCGATCCTCAGCACCACATAAAAATAAAATAAAGATGTTGTGTCCACCAAAAACTGAAAAATAAATATTAAAAAATTCTCTCTCTTTCTTCTCTCTCTCTTTTAAAAAAAATATTTTTAAAAATAAAAAGATAAATGAATAAAGATTTTAAGAAAAATAATAGTGAAGTAAAAAACAAATAAAATTATTTTGAGTATTTGCAAAAAAAAACTTCAACACATACTAACAAGGATGTAGAACTACTTTAACTCTCATACACCACTGGTAAGGACATAAAATAGTACAACCACTTTGGAAAACAGAAAATTTCTTAATTTTGGTAAGCCAAACACTCCACTACTATTCACCAAGAAAAATAGGAGCTATCTACCTTGATAATTCACCTCTACTTCCCTAATTCAATTTTCATGATCCTTCACTACTGCTCCTGGGATCATTTGCCAAATATTCTACTTTTTTTCCAAGTCTATCTCTGGATCTGCTTTTGTGAAAAATAAAACCAAAACCATATATTCACCAATGTGGGAATAGTTAATTTTAGTAAATTGATATGACAAAACTTTTTACAGCCATAAATATTCATAAACAATGGCACAGAATACGTTTGAGGGGCTGGGGTTGTGGTTCAGCAATAGAGTGCTCACCTAGTACATGCGGGACACTGGGTTCAATCCTCAGCACCACATAAAAATAAATAAATAAAATAAAGGTATTGGATCCAACTACAAATAAATATATATTTTTTTAAATGTTTGAGATAATATAAATTTTTCTTTAAAGGATCCAAAATGTAGATAAGCTATGTTAGAAACCATACAAAATTAGTAGGAAAAAAAATTCTATGCAGTAAGCTTCATATAAAGTAAGAAATCTCTATGTCTACAACCTAATATAGTGCCTTATCAAAAATACTTGCTGAACTAATGAATGTCATTGTAGCAAACTGACTGATGAACAAAAAGCCAAAAATAAAATGTGCCAACTATATGTTCTTTTATAATCAAATCTATAATGATACAGTGATGCATCACTTAGTGATAGAATAATTTATTCAGAGAAATTCATCATTAGGCAATTGTTTTCACTGTGCAAACAACAAATATAAAGTACTTACATAAACCTAGATGGTACAGCCTATATACACCTAAGTCATATTGCTCCCATGCCACAAACCTGTACTATAGACAATTATAACACAAAATATTAAGTATTTGTGTATCTAAACATATTCAAAAAAGAAAAGATACTATAAAAATATTGCATGTATGAAAGATTTAAAATGGTACACTTGTAAAGGGCTCTTACCATGAGCGGAGCTTGCAAGATGAAATTGCTTTGAGTGAGTGAATGGTGAATAAATATGAAGGCCTATGACATTTCTATACATGACAAAACTTCATAAATGCTCTACACTTAGGCTACACTAAACTTACTAAATTTTTTTTCAATTTATTTCCTTAGCTTACTATAACTTTTTTACTTATAAACTTTTTAAAACCTTTCTGACTCTTTTGTAATAACACTGGACTTAAAACACATAGGCAATAGGAATTCTCAATTTTTATTATAACCTCATGGGATCTCTATCCTATAGGTGATCCATCATTAACGAAAACATCATTATGTGGCTCATGATTATACAAGTAAGGCTTATCACAAGAATGCAAAGATGGCTCAACATTAGAAAATCTATTGAAGTAATTCACCACATTAGAAAAACTGATCTTCAAGACTAAAGAGACATTTAATAAAATTCAGTACCCATTGCTGAATTTTTTTAATCTTAGTAAACTAGAAATTTTTTTTTAAAAAAAACTACTTATTCATCTTAATAAAGTATACATACTAGAAACCCCTATTAAGCATCAAATTGTCTTATACTGAGGCTAGAACATGAAAGAAGAGTGACAACAATATCTAAAATCACAAAGCTTACACTATACTGAGAGATACAAATAATGGTAATACCTTCTAGTAAGATGTTCTGACAAGAGAATTAAAGGATGCCATAGTAACAAAGGAAAGGCAGCACAACTGCCTTTTCTGGAGACTGTTACTTGAGTAGATGATAAATACCTTCTGGGCAAAAACAGATTGCTCAGTATCTAAGACAATGTGTAGTACATGGTTAAATCTTCAATAAATGTTTCTTAAATGAATGAACAAAATGAACAAACATTAAATAGTGGCCTTAGATAGTTTCAAATATCAAGTATGAAATATCAATAAATTACATAACTTACTCTAAATTTGATATCTTCTAAAGAGTCCACTTGGGTACAAAAAACACCACCATACTTCACATACACAGATTACACACACATTGGCAATCCTAAATACTCACGGATACAAGGGATTTGTGTTGGCCAGCTGAAGAGTGTGTGTTTTCACAGGTTCCACAGCTATTAACATATCTTGTTCTACAGCCATAGGAAGAACAGAATATCCACAGTAATCTATGTGCTCTCCTAGAAAAGACAACATTTTTTTTTAATCACTGCTACCATATGAAACAAAAGAAGCTCAAGTAAGTTGACACACAAGAAAAACTTGACCATGAGCCATGTTTTAATAGAAAATAAACATACTATAGGAAAAAAGTTATTCAGCTTTCCTTTTACCCCACACATCTGAGTCAGAAACTTCTACTAGTTGGTTTCTGTTAATATTTTGAATATTTTTAATCTTAAGCTTTGCTCCAATTCCTAATTCATAAGGACCATTTTCAAAATTTATGTTATGTAACTAGCTATATGAGCATCAAGAAAAGTAAATCTCCACCAAAAAAATCAAGTAACCCAAGTAATATATGGGCAAATGAATTAAACAGATATTTCTCAAAAGAAGAAATACAAATGGCCAACAAATATATGAAAAAATGTTCAATATCATTAGCAATCAGAGAAATGCAAATCAAAACTACCCTGAGATTTCATTTCATACCAATCAGAATGGAAGTCATCAAGAATACAAATAATGATAAATGCTAGAGAGAATGTAGAGAAAAAGGAACTAATTTTTACATTGTTGGTGAGACTGTCAATTAGCATAACCACTAAGGAAATCAGTATGAAAGTTCCTTAAAAGACTAGGCATGGAACCACCATATGACCCAGCTATACACACTCCTCAGTATTTATCCTTAAGAATTACACTCATGTACATGCATACTTCTGTTTATAGCAGCACAATTCACAGCAGCCAAACTGTGGAACCAGCCTAGATGTCCATCAGCTGATGAATGATAAAGAAAATGTGGTATATACACACAATGAAGTTTTACTCAGCCATAAAGAATAATGAAATTATGTCATTTGCAGGAAAATGGAGAGAACTAGAGACTATTATGCTAAGTGAAATAAGTCTAACTCATAAGGTCAAGGGTCGTATGTCATCTCCCTTATGTAGAAGATAGAAGAAAAAAGGAAAAGAGAGGTGAAGGCAAATCTCATGAAAATCAAAGTAATATCATTAGAGGAAAGGGACCAACATGCAGGAGATGGGGAGGGAGAGGAGAAGTGTTGGGGAGATTTATTGGCCAAATTTTATTGTTATATTGTGTGCATGTACAAATATGTAACACCAAATTCCATCATTTTGTACAACTATAATGCACAAAAAAGGGAGAAAAAAGAATAAAACAAAAAAAATAATATATTCTTTCTCTGTTGCTCTTTTGTATTAACATTTAAAATATAAACAATGAAGACTTAAGTACATTCTCCCTTATATTAACATTATTTGGGTTCCACCCTCTTCCTTACCAGCCAATGGCTCTCTAAATAAAGATTTTGGTTATTATTGTGGCATAACCAAATGTCTAGCAATTTGATCAGCACTGATAAGTTGTGTTTAATGTCCTAGACGAGGTTAGGAAAAAAATATTTAAGCTGCACTTTCAACATATAAGCACATATAGGTAATAAACTATTCTTTTCATTCTAATTCTTCTATGAATCACCAGCAGAAATTTTTTTCCCCATTATACCAAAACAGTTTACCCAAGTCACCATTTAAACTCAAGGTCACTAGTCATGAGACTTAAAACACAAAATAACAAATTTAAGAAAGATGAGCTTACTCAGCCATAAATAAAAATGATACTATGTCATTTGCAGGAAAATGGAAAGAACTAGAGAATATTATGCTAAATGAAATAAGATGAGCAAGCTCATTTATTTCCCTGGTACATATTTTTTATATCTGATTGTTCCTATAGCAGATAATAATCAACTAGGAAACAAAAATTTAATAGAAGACAATTCAATTGCATAATTATATTGTTATTCTACATACAGGGCATAAGTATTTTCTTTCCACATTGATGTGCTCTTTAAAATGACATTAAAATATTTTGTGGGGGATTAATAATGACAAATGAAAAGCTGGCTTTCAAAGTTATCTTTCTCTAACTACCTTCAAAAGGACAACAATATAAAATAAGTAGAAAACACATATTCAAATAAAAAGAACTCTAAGGAGGCATTCATTCTGTTGGGAAGGTGGCAACATGAATGGCAGCCTTCTGAAAATGAACAATTTCTCCATTTGTCAAAACCAATTAAAAAAAAAAGAAAAGAAAAAAAATCACCCCAGATGAAACAGTGGGGGAGGAGCAGGACCTGCTGGGAAGAAAGTGTAACAAAATATTACATCCTCAATATTTTGATGGAAATTATAATAGTTTTTAAGAAAGATTGAACTTCACTTTATTCTGTGTACTAACTAGTTATGTTAGAATCATTTACAAACCGCCTACACCTTTCTAAATTAGAAAACAATCAACGAATTTACTAGAATAGGAATTATTTATCAGGAAAATCCTACCCCTAAAACAATATCTCTAAGGATAATGCTTCTTTGCAATCCCAGGCAATTGAAAGAAGTTGATGTCCTCCTCCTGTTCTGATTTCCAAGCCCTTTTCCTGTATTTCTTCTGAGGCTTATGCCACATTCTCCTCTCCTCACCACTTTCATCTATGACTCCTTGGTGACTCTACTCCTCACTGAAGACCTCAGCATGTGGTTTCATTTCCCTCTCCTTCCCCATTCTGCAACTAACTGGATAATATCCAGACAAACCACTTAGTCTAAGACCCCAGCTTCTCAATTCCTTGGCCTCCAGAAAGCCTGAGTCGATTCCTCTCTGCTTCAGCCATATACTTCCATGGCCTTGACAAATCCAATAATGACTGTAGACTTTCTTATCACCTAGAATTGTCTACCTATGAAAATTGTTTCAAATCTCATACTTTTTACTAAAACTTTCCATCCTACCATTTCTCACTCAGTTTCTCCCACTCACCTGCCTTTCACACTCATTTCTTTGCCTTCTCTACTTTATAAATTCCTACCTTTCTTTCTTTTTCTAATCAGCATAGATTCCAAGGTGTGTTACTTCACTTGCTCTCCTACTAATATTATTAACTTCTTCAGTCTACTGTCATTCTCTTGTAATCTTTATCCAAAACAAAACCTCAAACCTACATCAAAAACCCAGGCAGCTTAGACGAGCTAAAGCAGAAGGAAAATGCACAACTTTGTGGACTGCACCACTGATAATTCTCCAGTTCTTAACTAGATCTTGGTCCTATCCAGCAAACCTTTCATTTGTCCATTATTTCTTTTTCTCATCCAAGAACTATTTACAATTTCCTGCTCCTTCTCTCTACTACACTTCACATAAACTCCCTCAATCATCTATACTATAATTATTCATTCACCCACATCAACAGACATACTTCACTTCCTTATTTCCTGTTAAGTGTCAAAGTGGACATCCTCCAACGCCTAGACACCAGTCCTTCTTGCCTTCAGGGGCATTCTGTTCTACCAGTTCCTCAGTTATCTTCACCCTCTGCCTTGACAGTACTCCCTTGTGACCTTTTCCCCAATAACTATACCTACATATCCTATATTTTTATGTCCTTAATAACTATCTTCAAAATAAAATAAGATTGCCTGAATTGATAATAACTGAAGCTAGGTGATAAGTACATGGGATTTTACTATACTATTGCAATTTTTATATATTTATATTTTTCATTATAAAAAGGTTTTACTTTTAGTCATCCCCTGACCCCTGGATTTTTCTCAGCTCCCAATTCCATTTTCTCATGATAAAACTTATTCATCCTAGAGTCACCACTTATAACTTCCTCCAAGAGACTTCTCTAGCCCCTTCAAATCTGAATTGGGTGACCTATGAACTTCTATTGTACCCTGTGCTTCCCAGTCAAATTTTTTTAAGAAGCAGTTTAGCCGTAGATATTTTTGTTCAAATGGAATTTTACATGGATGTGAAAAAGAGGCTCCTCTTGTTGAGCTGTTTGCATGGCTGGCATCCCTGCTCAACAGTAGCCCCCGAGCAAACCCCAGTGAATTCCTAGGGCTGTGCTGCACACAGTCTGAAGGCAGTGCTATCAAAGTGCTTAAGAACTCCATCATAATTGCCATTGGACTGTTCAATGAGGGTAGGAACTATGCCTTTTTATTCTCACCAAGGCTATCCTTATGCCTGCCACATAGAGGACACATAACAAATCTCTAGCTTCAACCCCTCATTTTCTCAATGAGCTTCAGAAGCTCATATCCTAGTGCCTTTCTTGGCTATCCAAAGGCATTTCAAGCTGAAAATAAGTTCTTAACATTCTCCTCTTCCCTCACTTAGAACACAGTTGTCCACCCAGTTGTCCAAACATGGAGTTCATCACTTAGTCTGTGGGAGGCCACTCTGAATGATTTGCATTCTCCATCCCAGAATGGAGAGGCTTTGACCATCACTACATCTCGTCATGGTCCGAGAAGTTTGAGGACGCATCTTCAGATGTAGGCATGTAGTCCCATGGATTGAGCTACGCTCACCTGTTCCTTTGTGATATTACCCCTTTGTCCTGTTTGGGATTGAATGTTCCATAGAAACACTTTGTATGTCCCCTTCTTTTGCTCTGCCTTTGGGTGTGGCCTTCCTAGATGTCAGTCAACTTGCTGACAGCAGACATCACAAGCTAGACTCAACCCCCTGAAACCTGTCCCCTTGCCTCATTTGAATGGCTTCTCCTCAATAAAAGGGTTCAGCACACTCTTGCTCGCTCTCTTTCTGTGGACCCTTAAGGTCAGAGGAGCCATCACAGGACTCCAAAGAAAAAGGTATCTTTGTCTCTTGAGTGGTTATTTTGTGCAGCCCAGTTCACCTGGAGTGGCCCTGAGTGTTTTTGTCATGAGGAATGTGACATTAGTCCTTGAAATTAACCACCTTATAACAGAAGACTATAGTAAAATTTAAAAAAACAAAAATTTGCTGCTTTCTTCTTTAGCACTGCCTCTGATCTAGTTCAAGTTATGAGGCTTAGTTGTCTTTGGTTTCTGTTGGTTTTTTTTTTTTTTTCCTTAAGAAAGTAGTAGGATTTTTATTGTCAATAAAATAGGTCATAAATGAAGACACAAATATATTAATGGTTCTTGATAATTTTAGACTCTCAAGTCTCTATGGAAATGTCAGCTCCTAATGTAGACAAAGTACTATAAAAAAATAGGAGATATTCAAGACAGTGGTCAAAACAATAACTGAACATGAATACAATAAGGCAAACATAAAGTTACTTTCTCTATTTCCTTTTCTCAGCAAGGTATGTGTTGAATAAAGGTATAAGCCTTGTTTTTGTGGAAAATGCTTTTTTTGTATAGAAAAAATTTGTATGCTTCCACCTGCCCTACAAAACAAGGCCTGAAGAACTGGCTGCAGGATAAAGGGATACATTATGTCTACCAGGAAACAAGGAAACTCAAGTTTCAGCTTAAAAGAGAGTCCCCTGCCAAGTCTGACTTTTAGTTATACCCAGACCTATCTGAAAAGGCAGGAGCACAGCAGAGTCAAACTCTTCAGCAGGCACCTCTATACTATGATGGGCCAATGCTCATGTTGATGGTGGTAAAAGAATCAAGAAGCCTAGGTTTCAGAATCGCACAAACTTTCTTTAACTAGTAAGAAATTATTGAAGTTCTTCTCTAGTGTAAATAATATGAAAATAGGTAATGAAGTCAACCACACATCACTGCTGAGATTATTTAGTCTGACTTTAAAGCAGTATAAAATGTTTTCTTCCACACAATAAGTAAGTATAAGCTTTGTACTGAAGCTTTGAGAAACCAATCATGTTTTCATCTCTAGCTAAATTTAAGATGTTTTCAATTTGGATACTTTCTGTAAAATTTGCATAGACATAGTATCTATTTCTTCAGGTTTTTATGAAAATAAAATATTCTATTTGTAAATTCTTACTCAAAAGCTTTTTACTCAAAATTTATTTAATAAATATTTCAATAAAAGATATTATCTATCCTATATCAGAGCCATGGTAAAGCAAGTAAGGTGCAAGAAACTCTATACAGTCCCTGGAATAGAAAGAGCCCTAAAAGCCAGTGGGCATGAGCACATTTCAATTACAGGTTTGAGATTATGGGTCCATGGCAGTTGCTTCTTACTTTTATCACTGGAATGTCCACCTTAGGCCATTCTAAGGTTGCTGGATTTGTAGCCACTCAGATAGATTGGACACAGATCAGTTTCGGAGAAGGCTTCTGGGCTCCTCTGTAGGGCTAGATGATAAAACCTCCAGGAGAGGTTTTCAAAACTTTTGAAGGGATATCAATTCAAAGAGGCTCCATCTATCTGATGGGTTTCTTTTCTTATCCCTCCTTACAGAATACACAGTGCTAGGAATTGGGCCAGGGAAGGCTGTAAAGGAACCAGAAATGAGCCAACCTCTGGGCTTTTCCTTAGGGTAAAAAAAACAAAAGGAGGGTGATGTTTGAGATGGACTGAGCTGATAACAGGCTGCTTCTCTCCTTTTGTTTCCTTTTCACTCTGCAGCTTTAGTTTGTGGAGTGCTACTACCACTCAAAGGTACTTGGTCTCTCGGTGATAAGGCCCTTGTCGGGTGTGTAGCCAGCATCTGTCAATGTACTTGATACACAAAATGCTGAATGTTTTAATGGACTTGTCTATACTGTCAATGGCTGATAACAGGGTCATGGAAGAGGAGGATACACTGACCTCTCTATTGATAATTGAGCTCTGGAACCACTGGCTTCTAAGGAATGCTTTCCATGACCAATGGAGGAGGAATCATGAGTACAAGATTTTTGAGAACATTATCAAAGCTGAATGCTCAGCAATACACCCCAGTGGGCAGGACATCTTACCTAAAAGCCCACTAGACTCAAGAACAGGCATTTATGATTATCTTAAAGCCACCAAAAGACTGGGTTCCTTTTACTTTTTTTCCATAGAATTCCAAGCTGAGTTCCAGCCACCACATGGTGGTGACAGACAGACTTAATAAGAAATCACTGACCAACTGCTACAAATTAGCAAACTTCTCAAGAAAAACCCATTCCAGAGGTTCTATTCTCCCACTGTGGCAAAGGACCTGTGGCCGGAACTACAGCAATAAATAAACTCAGAGGACATACGTCTCCCAAGGGGTTATGGCACAGTCCAGACACATGGAGAGCAACAACAACAAAGGTTTCCACCACCTACCAGGGAGCACTATCCCTTACATCTGCTCTCATTTTATGATGATGATAATGTTGATTGTGGTACCAGAGACTGAAATCGGGCCTCGGTATATTAAGTAAGTGCTCTACCACTGAACCACATACCCAGATCCTGGTTCCTGTTCTTGTAAGACCTTTTCTCTTCCTTTTTACTTATAAAAAAACTTGAACTGACCAAATGAATTCTTTTGTTTTTTGGGGGGGGTCAAAGAAAAAAAAAACTCACACAAGGTTATTTCCCATATGGCTAATTTCCTTTAACATCCTTCAAATGGGTCATAAAACCAAATTATACAGCTTAATAAAGAAATTCTACTATAGGTTCATTTATTATATGAAACTCTCTAATGGTCTGGCTTACTACAACAATGAATACTATGGTATACCATGTATGAGAATGAGTGGACAGCATAACTTTCAGGACATCTTTTATGGCAGGGTTATTTGAACAGAATCTTAAAGAAGGGGCAAAAATTAGGCATAGCCTGGATATGGGATAAAGATATTCCAGATAGAGAAAAGGAAAATGGGAAAATCAAAGATGGATTGACAAAACACAGAGATTCAACTCAACCCCTCGAACATTAATTATGTCCTAATAAGTAAAAATATAAATGAGATAGTCTTCAAATTTTAAAAGTTATCTGGCAGCCACTGTTCCTTATGCTCTAGACCTAGAGAGGAACTAGCCACCCAGGTCACTCTCAAGGACAACATAAGTGAGACAAACTCAAGATTGACTAGAGGCAGCTTTTCTTCCTGACCTTTCTGGCAGTCAAAACAAACTTTTAGGATGCCAGTATAGTCTTATAGAATGTTTATGAATATGAAAATGTTCTATGTCTATGCTATCTGATATAGAAACCACTAGCCACATGTGGCTACTGAGCATTGAAAGGTGACTACTTAATTACTTTAATTACTAACTAACTACTTTAATTAATTTAAATTTAAACAGTCAAATGTGGTTAGTGGAGACTTAACATATAGTACAGATATATATGATTCATACCTTTAGCAATGCAAAATTTCTCCTTTGTATCTTCAAAGAAAGGATAGTGAAATTACAACAAATATCCTACATAATATCTCTACAATAACCCTGACAATGAATCTCATAAAATTATAGATAAATAATAAAGTAAAACCTGTTGAAAACAACTCTATATGTAAGCAATATATATTTCTGAAATCTACCTTGATCTTGAATAAATTTAGGAACCAGCAAAATAGGTTCTACATGTTCTCAAAATAATGTTCCATAAATAATATCCATCTCAACAAGGCTTATGATAAAAACTCAAGTGATAACAATTTTGTTGACCAGAATAAAAACAAATCCTTTTGTGGAAATGAACAACTTAAGTTCCATGAAAGAGGGTACATCCTCTCTTCTACGTACTCCTTTCCACCTGAAAAATCTCACCAGAAATAAAAAAGAAAAAATGAATAATGCCATTCTCATCTGTTTCTTTTCTATCCAATGACTATAATACTGAAAACTAGAAATAAATTTATGTACAACGGAAGAAAATTGTTAATAAAAGTATAAAATATCAACTTAGTAAGCTATTAGGAAGTCATTAAAATAATTATGACCTCTACAGAAAGAGGAAAATATTTATGATGGATTAAATGATAAAAAGAATAAAAATTGTATGCAATATAATTAAAACTGTATCTATTATTATAAATATACATAGAGGTGAACAGAAAAACAGTAAATAAAATTGTTAAAAGGCTATAATTTACTATTAAAAGTACTAAAATTCAAAAGCATTTCAGAGAAGAATTATAAAAAAAAATACACCTAGAAAACCTGAAAAATCTGGGCCAACACTTTTAAAAGCATTGAGTTATAGGATTTCTTAGCATCCCTCTAACTTAATGAGAAAATGTACAGTCATCCAAATTACTCACCAGACTTTAAAGATATAACCTATGGCATAGAAAAAATTTTCATCTTCCATTAAAACAATAAAAACAAATGGGTTTGAACAAATATATAGATTTTTAAAAATGAATGGGAAAAAAGCAACATTAATTACATGAATTGGTTGAAAGATAAAAGTAAGGAATTGTGTAAAAATGTATCTTAATATATATACATGTAAAATATTCTATTTGGGGCAAAGTTAAGAAAGAACTATATTTAAAGAATTTGTATCTTATTAAAAGAGGAACATAAAATTTAAAGGAATGTTTAAAATACCTATTATGTTGACTCGTCCTGGTGCTCGAACATAAAACTTGGGAATAGATCCAAACTTAGAGTTAAAAATCTCCTTTAGCTTCAGCAATCTGAAAACAAGAGTAAAATATTTCAAAATATCATATATCAGAAATCTGTAAGAGACTGGGGGTGTGTAGCACAGTGATAAAGCCCATACTTAGCATGAGCAAGGCCCTGGGTTCAATTTTCAGAAAATGAAAATGCCCATAAGAGGCAAACTCATCCATGCACACATTTCATGTAACTTCCACCACTAATTCTTCCAAAGGAAAAGAGAAAAAGTAAACTCTTCTGGTAACATACTACCTTAAAAACCCCAGGGCAACAGCATTGTTATTTCCTAAAGGATGCAAAGTATAGCCAAGCCCACTTAAGAAATCCAAATATAGTCACATTCCAAGGTTCTAATGGACATAAATTTGGGAGGATATACCATTCAATCCAGTACAGGAAGTCATATGAAAACTACACTGGGGGCTGAGGTTGTGGCTCAGTGGTAGAGAGCTTGCCTAGCATGTGTGAGGCACTGGGTTCGATTACCAGCACCACATTAAGTTTGGCAAATCATTTTTCCTTAGCCTCTGTTCTCAAAAATTAGAGAATTTTAACTAGATATTCCTCCTAGATCCCTTTCAGATCCAAAATTCTTATAATAGATTTAATAATCTGATACCATCAAAGCATCTCAGGTTAATTCTGTGAATAGTTCCACTGTTTGTAGTCTGACATCATATTATACCTAAATAATAATACCAAGACAGTAAACATTATTTAAACCTACCATATTCAGGAAAGTTGAGTAATTAATTAATTGATCTTAGGGATTAATTAGTTGCAAGAAACAGAAACACACCAAAAAAAAAGTTCAGTAAATAAAGGAAATTTATTGTAATGACAGATATGCTGAATATTTTCAGAAATTATTCAACCTGGACTCCTGGAAACTGGAGAGTTATCAGAAACTGTTTATACTCATGTCTTTGGCCTTCTCTCTTCCTAACTCATTCTCTTATCGCTCTAAACATTCCATCACCATTCTGCTTTTCTCAAAGCTCTGCATTTTGCCTGCCTCTGTGAGCTCCTCCACATCTTCAGTTTCCATGACACTGTGGTCTTGATACTGTAAGATTAATAGCTCCAGTGACTTATACAGTCTATCCTATACATCTCTATGTCCTTGAGCTCAAATTCCCAAAAGATATGTGTTTGGCAGAGTTTAAATGTAGCATCTCTCCTGGTCCTATCATCTATGGCTAAGGGGGTATGGAATTTGGTACAAACAAGGTTATTTGTTTGAATTGCAAATATGATTACTTTGGTCCATTTCTTCAACAGACAAGGATGACAAAAGATCTCAGCAGGAGACAATAACTAGTATCTCTAGCATTTTAAAAAGCATTTACTTGACTATCATATAGGTGTGAACAATGGTGACTGCCTAATTCTGAGTTTACCAAAAGCAATTAGAACAAGAACAAATAAAACTACACCAAAAAAAAAAAAAATGCCTCCAGTATGACTAGAAGACAGAGACTGTTAAACTTTAAAAGTTATGGGCTGGAGTTGTAGCTCAGTGGTACAGCACTTGCCTAGCATGTGTGAGGCACTGGGTTCAAACCTCAGCACCACATTAAAAAATAAATAAATAAATAAAGGTATTGTGTCCGTGTACAACTAAAAATATTTAAAAAAAACTTTAAGTTATAAATAGAACAAAAAGGAAGAGGGAAAAAAATGAAGAAAGACCACAGTATGCTACTGGAAAAAATAACTTGGATGAAAGAGAAATGAAGGGAGCCAGCAAAATGAAGATTAATATAAAACCACCACACCAAGAAGAAAAGTTCACTTATTTAAAAAAAAAAATGGAAGGTAAAAGGAGGAAGAGGTGAAAGTACAAAAAGCTCACAGACTGTTAAACAGGCTACAGGTAAAAATTAAAAGATAAATTAAAAACTGAAAAAGCAATTTTTTTTAAGTTACAGTGCAGGCATATACAAGGATACAACTAAATCACTTTTTTAAAAGTTATAAAAAGACTATGGTCTGTGCAGTCATGCAGAACTGGGCTTAAATATCTTCACTATCATAATGAAATTCATTAACCTCCCTCACCTTTATGTGACAAAGATATGCACCCCATGAAGTTGATTAAATAAAGTAATATAGGATCAGTGTTTAGCCCAGCATTAGCATGAAATACATATTTAATAAATGGTAATTATTATTCATGATTCCTAGGTTCAGTTTCATTTCTATTCTGCAACATATAAATAATCCACTAGAAGAAATGAAAAATGATAGATAATTGTTTAGCTTATGTCAGAACAGTAAGTACTATTAGGGCATTCAGTAATTTTGATGATGCTGTTGATAAACTTTGGTGATCTCTACTCACTTTCTTCCATATTATAGAAGATGAGACACCTCAGGTTGTCCATCCAGATTCTATATAGAATGATTTTAAATGCTAGTGTTTTTCAACAGAAAACAGGAAGATGAAGAAGGAGGACAAGGAGAAATGGATAGTTAAACAAGAAAAGAGTCCCCTATTTTTTAAGGGCACTAAAAAAAAGATATAAGTACAAAAGTAACCAGTAGAACAAAATCAAAAGTTTTCTTAAATACCAAATAAATTTCAAAAATAAAGGAGCACAGTAAAATCTAATAGAAAACACGACACAGAAAACATATCATAACACATAATTATCAAATAATATGACAGAATTGAAATCAAACATATCACCATAGTTCTAACTATAACTATAGTTATTTCACAATAGTTCTCTGTTACAAGATGGTTAACTTCAAGGACTGGGTGAAGTTACATCAACATATGTGACTAGGCCTAATATATTTCTTTAAAAAAAAAAGATTTGCAATTTGGATCCTAAAACAAAACTGAACTATGTGCTGTATACAAGAGACACAACTAATATCTAATAATTTAGATATTTAAACTTAAAATGATTCAAAAAGGCTAAATATCAAGGAATAAGTAGAAGTATTCCAGGAAAACAGAAACAATAAGAAAACAGTGGGAGTTTTTTTGGTCCTGACATCAGATATTGAAGAATTTAAACCAAATACCATTAAATGTGCATAAAAGGATCCTTCTTAATGCTGAGAGTCACAACTCAAAATAAAGGTATGAGCATTAAGGAATGCCCCCAATTCAAACTGTAATAATAATTTTTATAAGGCAAAAAGTATACTACAGGCAATGTAAGAAAATATGAACAGAAATACATCAACAATAAGACACAAAAAAAATTGAAGAGAAAAATGCAACAAAATTAATAAAGCACATTTTATGGATGTATATACCATATATAAACATTACACCACGATAATTTGTGTAGGACAGCACAAATATTGATCATATATTAGACCACAATAAAATGTTACTGAATTCCATAAGGTGAAAATACTATAAACAACACTGAACTCAATGCAACAAAACTTGAAATTTTAACTGAGAATAAGTCACAAAAAGGTTCTCCTAGTGCAATGGCTTATGCCTGTAACCCCAGCTAAAAAACAGTAAAAATGATATTGTAAGGATTCAATGATATTACAAAGATTTGAACCAAATGGATAATTTCTAAGAAGGGAAGTAGGAACTGGCAGAACAGGGTAGAAATCAGAAGCAATAACAAAGAAAGGAACTGTGGGATTCTTCAGGCTTTACTGAATATATTTTTTGGCTTTTATTTTTTTTTTTTTTTTAGATATACATAATAGTAGAATGTATTTTGACATATTATACATACATGGAGTATAACTTATGCTAATTGGGATCCCATTCTTGGGATTGCACATCATGTGGAGTTTCAGTGGTTGTATATTCATATTGAATATACTTCTAAATACTCCAAATCTTTCATATTAAGAGTGTGTTTAGGATTACCCAGTTGAGTTGGCAGAACATGAGACTTTTATAAGGTAGTCATATGGCATCATATACAGCAGCACTATTCATAGGAGCCAAAAGATAGAAGCAACCAAAACATCTGTCAACTGATAAATGGATAAACAAAATGCAGTATATCCATACAATAGAATATTATTTGACCATAAAAAGGAATGACATAATGACACATTTTACAAAATGGATAAAACTTTAATACATGCTATATTTTTTTAAAAGCCAATCCAAAGAACTCAAACATGATTATGACTTGCATTTATTTGAAAGCCCAGAATAACCAAACCTATAGAGACAGAAAATACATTAATAGTTGCTTAGGGTTAGTGGGGCAGTGGGAGGTGAGGGAATGGGAAGTCTGGGATGATACCAAATGGGATATTGGGTTCTTTTTCAGTCAAGAAGTTTTCTAAATTTGATTGTGGTAATGATTGCACAATTCTGAAAATACTAAAAACCACTTAATTGTAATCTTTAAATGAGTGAATTATATGGTATGTGAAAAATTAACAAAGCTATTACAAAAATAATAATCCAACAACTTAAAACTTAATCACAAAGAAAAGGAAAAGAGGCGATATTACTGCTAAGAATGCAAAGAAAGCTAAAACAGTGGAATTTGGTGTCTTACAGTAAAGGGGAGATGCATAGATGGGATGTAAAAATAAAATATTAGAGCTTGTATTTGTAAATTATTTTTATTAAGAAGAATAAAAAAGAAATTATTTTATAATGTGGTTATATTTGTATAATGTGGTTCACTAATGCCTTTACTCAGAGTATCTTGTGTCCTATGAAGTTGATGAGGTATCTTGAGGAAAGAGAAGGAATTCCACTAGGAGACAGGCTCCCACTGGGGCCCTCAGTGAATTGTAACATGTGACTGGTTAGTTAGATTTATACATCACACTCAAGAGTTAACAAAACATATGCTTCCTAAAGTGAATATGTGGCTTCAAAAGATTCCTAAGAATAAAATATTGCTTGAAGTTGATCATCAACACAGTGCACACACAACTCAAAAACAATAGCAGAACTTCTCTTGACTACTTTTATGATCTCCTCTGTCGCTAGCAAGGAAAAATAAATATTAACATTAAATACATTTTACATGAATAAATACTATCAAAACAAGGAAGAACACTAAGGAAATTTGGTAAACAATTCTTCATTTTTAGTGCATGTAGCTGTATTTGTTACCTTCTTGCCACTGCAGGGCCAACTATAGAAATTGATTTTTATGATCAAAATCATATAAAATGGAAACATTTGAAATACATAATGGATATATTTTATGTAATAAAAAGATTAAGCTACAAGGGCCTGGATTTATTTTCATGTAACAAATTCCTCCTTACTCTTAGGTGAAGCATGCCTTTAACAATGTGTTCTAATTCAATCATATATACCAGGGCAACATTAAAACACTCAAAATCGAAGACATTCAGAGATACTCCAAAACTATGCTGGTCTTTATGATTAAAAATTATGTTTCTTTCTGGTAATTGAAGACACACTGCTGGCTTAAGCATGAAAGAACATCTTTTTAGGGCAACTTGTGTAATTTGTCAGGCCCAATACAAAATGAAAATATCATCAACTGACCCATAATAGTAATAAATAAGGAAATAGAAGGAGCTTAAAGACTTGATGTTAGAGAAAACAAAATAGTTAATAACAGCAAAGTGTGAAAGAAGTCAACCCCAGAAAAGCTCTTAGGCTAATGCAGCACAGCAAGTAAAAGACATCATTCAATGAGATTTTATCACTATAAACCAGAACAAAGTGTTTCTACAAAGTATCTGTAATTTAAAATATCCTCCACTAGCCATCACCAAATTACCAGTTATTCTGTAGCTGGGGATTGGCAACAAATTCCCTAAATGACAATTCAGATTCCAGGGTTTCCTTTTAAGATGCAAAGACCAAGGAGGCTTCTGTGTTTGCTTTCAATGAATATTTAGAAAGACGACTTCTAAAAGCAATTATCAATGGGCAGGCAAAGCAAATGGAGGAGTTCGAATGTATTCGGACATTTTTCTGAAGCTGGGTAGAAAGTAACACCTTCAGCAAGAAACGGAAAAGAAGAATCTGCAGAAATGAAGCAATACACAACAATCCTTGGTAGCAGCCAAGGTGTAGTAACGTATTTGACGCATGTTCTTTCTTGCAAGCCCGGTCTTAGAGAATTACAAGAGTTCTGTCTGCTCCCCAGTAACAAAAGCAGCCAAAAGCCATGAACCTTATCTGCAACCAGCTAACCTAGGAGATCCCAAAAAAGGTGGCTTTGCCTCTCCCCCACCTGGGATGTTCTGCCACCTGGATTCGACGCCTGGCAGGGCCCTCCGTAGCCATATTTCGCTAGATCCTGTTTTCTTCTGCAGTTTGGAGTTTAGAAGCAAATCTCCTAAGGCAATCACGAGATAACCGGCTGTTACAGATGCTCCTTTCTTCCGGACAGCACTGGCTCTCACCCTGCGGAAATCCTGCAGCTGCGCTGAGGTGGCTGCTTCCAGGCACCGCCTCCAGCTCCTCCTTCTGGGCTCTGGGCCAAAGTTCCCTTCCGGTCACTGACAAGTGCAACCACAGTCCTACACTAAGTTTACAGGAACTGGGACTCTTGGAGGCCCTGCGCAAGCACATGCCAAGCTGAAAGAGGTTTTCTTTCTGCAAACTGTGAATAAGTCTGATTGCAGAGTGATAACCTGGAGACCCGCACACACCTTAGTCATCTGATCTATCTGAGGCTACAATTTTTAAGTTAGGAGTTTTGTTTTTGTTTGTTTTTTAACGTCCACCAGCTACTTCCAAAACGACACTGAAATGTTTAGCAATTTCTTCTATGTGGATTATTTCCAAATCAAGCAGCATAAAATTGATGCAGCACTAATGCAAACGTACTTGCATTTATTTTCAGGATAAGCCTTTCAGAAACATAATAGGAAAAGAAGGAAACTTTTTTTCTGCATCCACCCTTAGCAACCCCTTAGATTTCCTACTGTAATGCCAGATTCGTTGGACCCCAATAGACCTCCAGAAGCCCAATCTGATGCAATCACACAAGAGTCTTTATTGTAAACTCGAGCCTGGACTCACAACGGTTCCTACTCAGCGGTCCCAGGGAGTGAGTCCTGGTCCTTTGTCCAGTGAGATTTTATAGGTTTTGCGTCACAACATCACACAGCAAATCATTCCATATCACGGGAAAATCAAACAACAACTCTTAACATTGATTAGCACATTCACTGGCGGGAACCAGTTGGGTAGGGGTGATTGGTTAGTACAAGAGGGGGATTCCTTTGAACTGATTGGTTTAGGCCACAAGGGTGTACTAAACTATCTGGTTTCCCAACATGTTATTAACCACCATAAACTACTGGGGGGTCATCCCCAGTATTTTCCCTGTCTCATGCTGATTGGTGGTTGCTAGAGAGTTGCTATGGGTCTTCACCTAGCTTAACTGAGTCAAGGACACCCTATGCCACAGATCTCTCCTGTTATTTGCAGACAAACAACTCAGCAGGGTGGGTAGGTTTTTCCCAGGACAAGGGTCACGCCCCCTTCCTTAGGACAGGCCTTGAGGTAGAAGCTGATTTCTCAAAAATGGAGTCACATCAGTTTCTCACTACTACCTAGAGAAAACCAGATGCCCTATCTAAAGTAGCACAACATCCCCACCACATCACTCTAACATATTAATGTTCTTAGATCTCAAAATTATCAAAAAATTACCCTGCATATTTATTATGTGTTTATTGTCTGTCTCACCACCTCCACCATCACTACCACTAGATTTACCAACCTGAGGGAAAAGGCATCTTGAATAGTGCCTAGTAGGTTGGTTTTTAATAACTAGATAAGATAAACAGATGACTGAAATGTAAAATGATATGCTTAAGATCACACTGCTCATCAGCAGCAAAACTCAAATTAAAATTTAGCTCTATTAATTCTTAATCTAGCACATTTTGTACCTCAGAACACAAAGATTAAACCCAGCTAGTAATACATCTATTCCAAGATACTCCAGTTGAGGAAGTTTGAGCCAACATGATTGTATTATACAATTTTCTTTTCCTATAACATGATACCTAAGGATGGATATTTTATAAAGGTTTATTTCAGTTTTTGTCTTATTTTTGTGGTGCTGGGGATAGAAGCAGGGAGTGCGTGTGCTAGGCAAGAACTCTGCCACTGAGCTACACCCCCAGCCCTGAAATGAGGTTTATTTAGCTTAAAATTTTGGAGGCTCATGGCAGATATCATCACAATGGTGGAAGTATGTGCACAAAAAAAAAAATCACATGGTAAGACAAAAAGCCAAGAATATTCTGGCTCAGGATCTCTCTTTTCTAACAACCAGTTCTCTCAACAACTCACTCACTCTAAGAGACCAGTGTTAATCCCTTCCCAGGGCAATCCCCCTAATGACCTCCCACCAGATCCACCTCTTGAAGCTTCCAACACCTGAGCCTTTTGGAGAACACACTCAAACCTGAAATACTAGTGTTGGTAGCATAATTTGGAGAATAAATGCCTGTCACAGTAGGGGTAGTAACATAACTTAAGATAAATCCAATATGTTGCTATTCCAGAATTCTATCATTATATATGTGTATGTAAGAAGCAGGAAAGGAAATAGAAGCTAACATATAGATGCATAGTATCAGTTTAGCCCAAGGGTGGAAGACCCTGGGCATCCCCTTGAGTTATTACTGTAAATGGTACATCATGAAAAGTAATTCTGTTTTCTGAGCTTCTTTTTTATTGTTATGGTTTTGATCTCAAATGTTCCCCAAAGATCATGTCTTAAAGGCATTGTTACCAGTATGTAGCACTATTAGAACATGGGGCCTAGTGGAAGGAAGTTGGGTCATTGGAGGCATGCCCTTGAAGGGTGTGTCAGTCAAGTTTTCATTATTATGGTCAAAGTCAAAGTTATTCTGAAAAGAATAACTCAAAGGGGCTGTGGTTGTAGCTCAGTGGTAGAGCACTTCCTCAAAAGTGTGAGGCACTGGGTTTGATCCTCAGCACCATATAAAAATAAAATAAATAAAGGTATTGTGATCACCTACAACTAAAAATAATTTAAAAAAATAAAAGAGGAAATCAGAAGAAAAAGGTTTATATTTTTTTACAGTTTAAGAGGTGCAGTCCACAATCAGCGGACACCACTGCTCTGGGCCTGAAGGGAGGTGGAACATCATAAGCACTACTTACCTTGTGGCAGCCAGGAAGCAGAGAGAAAAAGGGAAGAGGCTGCAGGCAAGATGAATCCTTTTAAGGCATGCCCCCATTGACCCACTTCCTGCAGCCTCACACTAACTCCCTACAGCTAACACCCATTTAGTCCATTCAAACAAGGATGTCCTGACTAGATACAACTCTCATAATCCAATTGTTTCACATCTAATCATTCCTGCATTCACACAGGTATTTTGGGGGAATGCCTCATATACTAACCATAACAAAGGGGATATTGGGACCCCAGCTTCTTTCCCTATCTCTCTTTGCTTCCTGGCTGCCATGAATGAGCAGCTTTGCTCCAACAGGTGCTCCCCACCACCATGTTCTGTCTTACCACAGGGCCCAAAACAACATAGTCAACCAATCATGAACTGAAAACTGAATCAACATAAATCTTTCCTACTTATAAGTTGATTACCTTGGTATTTTGTCACATAATAGAAAGCTAACATACAATCATACAGCCTTTCTAATCATTTATAATAAATCAATCATAACTTATTTTTGAACCACAGTAAAAATAATATTGTGGCTTATTCTTGAGTAATGGACAGTATTATTGTCACTTCTTGTAAATAAATTTAGATAAGGAGAGAATCTAAGTAAAAAAAATATAAACTTTTTAGGAACGTCAGTGAATATGGAAATGGACAGACTAGTTTTTTAATATTTATTTTTTAGTTGTTGTTGGACACAATACATTTATTTTATTTATTTATTTCTATGTGGTGCTGAGGATTGAACCCAGGGCCTCATACACAGCAGATGAATGCTCTAATCCTGAGCCACAACCTCAGCCCAGACCAGTTTTTTTATTCAGATATGTTTCTAATATATCTTCCTAGATCAATTGAAAAATAATCTAATTTTAAAACTTGAAAACAATGTTTCTTAAAACACAAAATAAACTCATTTTATACTGGGTAAAAAAATGAACACAGTGACAATGGAAACTGTTTCATAAAAGAATACTTCCTATTGAATGTATATTTGTGGACCAAACTTTGCTAATTAAAATCCAATGTTAAATGATTAGTTTGGATCTTGGATGCATTCCTATTATAGTCTCATCAAAATTGATACGGATTAGAAATATCTTCTGAAGTAATTATTTAAAAATCCTTTTTTTAAATAACTGGCCCAAACTAAAAGAGTGTAGTGGAACTAGAATTAAAATTACAGCGCTGCACTTGTAGTCCAGAAACCATACTACTTCTGAATATGTGACCATTCATGAGATCTCAACAAAGTATGCTTTAAAACAAATTAACAAAGCTATTAGAATTCTTGTCTCAAAGTTGAAATACGCACATAATAATTTTCATGAAGTATTGCTCTTAAACTTTTCTCAAACTTCTAGAGAACCCTACCAGACACAGAGATAGACACACACAGACACAATTACATAACTTTCTATGCCAAGCATCTTGCTAAGGAAGCACTTGAGTGTGTGTGTGTGTGTGTATGTGTGTGTGTGTGTGTGTGTGTGTGTGTGTGCTGGGGACTGAACCCAGGGCATTCTGCATATGAGACAAGCACTCTACCAAGTGAGCTATATCCCCATCCCCATGAAAACTTTGTATATTGTATTATCTCTCTTTTTTTAAATAATTCTTAAGGGATTAAAAAATATTATTCCTTTGTCAATTTTAAGAAGGTATTCCTTTGGTTTTTATTAGAAAACCATATCTGGCAGTGAAAATATTCAAACACTTAAATTTTATCATATTTTTATATCTACAAATCTCAAACCTCTCATCTTTATTTTTTGGCAGATGGGCACACTTACACTAAGGCTTAAAGTCTAAATTATAAACTAATAGATGGTATATCATGATATGTTCTTAAACAGAGACCTAATTGATAAGTTTAAATCATTTTTCTTTCAATTATATTAGCCCTTGCTCAGATAAAATATAATAGCAAACTAAATACAAATAAACACCAAAAGGAGTAATTAAAAAAAAAAACTTGAACCAAAATAAGACATTAAAACAGGGATGCTAGAGTCACATAGATCTAGCTATCTAGCTGACATCTACAGATGTTTAGAACTTCCTGTGGGAAGTTCTACTGTTCCTAATGCCTACCTCTACCTTCAAAAATGAAGAATCTAAGGCCACAGAGAGACCATCATTTGCCTGATATGTTCTGTAGTCTAATTATACAACTTCTGGAAAGTATTTCCTGTTTTGATTTATAATTTTAACAAAGTGTTATTTACAATAGGAAGAATT